GCGCGCACACACACACACACGCACACACACACACACACACACACACACACACACACACGCATACGCACGCACGACTTTTCCCTCACACATCCTCTCTTACACACATCTGTGCACATACAAATAGTAGTATGAATTCTATGAATGAACAAGCTTTACGTACCCGCATGTGCAAAACCATACGTAGGTTACTTTAGTTCAGCCTGACAATTAATTAAGCAGGAAGTTTGTTGACAATGCAGCTGTCGTTTAAAACTGTGGGAGTGGTGGTTTGAAAGTGGAAGGATGAACGGCAGGACGCATAGCAACATCGATTCAAACACGGTATGTGGAAGAAGTGCAAGAATCCACCACCTGCAATCAAACTTGGTATAGTGAAGGAGAGGAGGGATGATATACAAAGAATCAAACTAATTATAGTAAAGATGCAAAAGTATATACATCGTCTCAAACACGGTTTAGTGAAGATGAAGAAACATGATGAAAATATACAGTGAATCGAAAGTGTTATGGTGCACATAGAGGCAATTGTGATATAGTTGTGGGTTTTTTTAAAGAAGAAGAAGAAGAAAAAGCATAAACATAGAATCAAATGGGATAATATAGTAAAGAGGATGAAGAGTGTGCATTAAAAAAGTAGGCTACTTATAAGAAAGAAGTGAAAGAATACACATACACATAGCAGCAAACGTGGTGTAGTAAAAAAAAAAAAAAAAAAAAAAAAGAAAAAAAAAGATGAAGCATATTTTTTTTCAATGGTGAAATGGTAAAGGTTTAACGGTCCTATCAATACTGTTAGGTTATTTAAGAGGTGGGACCTCCGAGTTTAACGTCCATCTCCAAAAGGACAGAGCCAAGTGGGAAATTCGTGTAAAGCGCTTTTCCCAAGGACACAACATCGGACCGAACGGAGGCTCGAACCCCCGAATCCACAATCTCATGATTACGAGTCCGGTAGCCTAACCACTAGACTGCCGTCGCCACAATGATAACGTGAAGAAGAGGAAGTACAATCTACAAAGAATCCAACCAATTGTAATTTTTTGTAAAGAACTGAAAGAATACACATAGCATCAAAAGTGGTATATAAACAAGAAGAGAAGGCATACACACAGATACAAACGTGGTATAGTGAAGAAGAGGAAGTATAGCCAAAGATAGTACATAACAAGATGGGCCACTCAGGCTAAAAAGTGTCCGCATGAAGTGCGCTCTTTGCTTCAGATGGCGCTGCAGTCTGTTTTGAAGCTCTCTTTCGTTTCTCCAGAAGAAGAATAGGAATAGCACCCAGCCTATAAGCACCTCCTTGCGTGTGCAGATCGACTGCTGTTCATCAGCAGTTCGGGTTCGTTCAGTGTGGAGTTTTAGTTGTTTTTTATTTTAATGACCTCTAGACTTTCATTCTAATTAAAAGAAGAAAACAATCACCCTATCCTCCGGAAGAGGTTTTTTGTCAGCGTAACCATTTTTAAAAAGCGTTCTTCCGAAATTCATTCAAAAACTGCTAGTTTCACTTTAATTTTTTAAACTCAAGTAGGATAATTCTGTTCGCAAGATGTGCGCTTTTGCGAAAAGGGCGCCACCGAATTTTGAGGACACTTTTTTAATTGGTTCAAAGAGAGAAGTGGCCCCTCTTGTTATGTAGACTCTTTGGTATAGCCTATGCAATGAGGCATCGAAGAAAAATCAGGGGCTCGTCAAAATGATAAAAATCGAAGAAAACGGCGGTTTTCCGCCGGTTTGACGAATTTTTTTTTTTCGAATATTTGTCGTTCGGCTAAACACCTTTTATGTCTGTTTAAAAACACATTTCTGTCTGGATTTTACTGTAAAACATCTATCAAAAGCACCAAAAATGGAAATTTCCATTTCCCAAGGACTCTGTTTATATATATATATGTCGGTGGCCTAGTGGTTAGGCTCTCGGACTCGCAACCGTAAGGTCGTGGGTTCGAATCCCGTCAGGGGCGCGACGTTGTGTCCTTGGGAAAGGCACTTAACACGAATTTTCCTCACTTCACCCAGGTGGGAATGAGTACCCGGCTATAGACAGCGAAAGAACTTGTCAGTTTGTTAGTGTTTGAGCGCTTAATCGGCT